GCATGAGGGAGGGGATGATTACCGCCTTGGACTCATTGAGGGTTGGGCGCCCCAATATGAGGTTGTAGGCAGTCAACTCTTCGACTACCAGAAACTTGACGACCATGTGCCGTCCTTCCCCCTTGCCTCCCAGCCGGATGGGTAAGTCTATCCTACCTACCGGATGCACTACCCCACCTCCAAAGCCGACTAGGGGGTGGGGGGCCTTGTGCATACTACTGGGCTTGTATTTCAGCTTCGCCAAGCAGCGATAGCTTATCAGGTCAAACGAGCTCCCGGTATCGATTAGGATCCGGCCAACTCGTTGATTGACAACTTTACATTAGATGACAATGGGGTCATCGTGGGGCCACCTGACCGTACCCCTGTCTTTCTCAGAGATGAAGATGCCGCCTCGCCTTCTAAAGTTGAGCTGGAACACCAAGAAGAGGGTGCCAGCGACGACGAGACCGCCTCCTCATCCGGTAGAGAGCAGAGCGGCAGCAGCAGCAGCCTCTTGACACCGGATGTTGATAGCGAGGCGGAGGAGAGGCCTAATTGGAATAACAAAGGCGACCCGTTCCTTATCGCCGTTTCTGCCAAAGGTAGGGCAAGCATGGCAAATAATTTGGAGGACTTCATAAAAATTCGCCCGCTTGGGAAGAAATGGAAAATAATTGTGCCACCTGAGATGGGCACTATTGTTTGGGAAGACGAGCAGCCTAATGCAGATGGGTATTTTGGTTGCTATGAGGCGGCAATCCTGGATGGTCTCCGCTTCCCCCTTCATAACACAATAAAGACCATCCTTCGAGGATATGGCCTTGGCATTTGGCAGTTAACCCCCAACTCATGGGTTAACATATTGGGTTACATTGCCGCCTGCGAGATGCAGGAAATCAACCCTGGATGGGAGGCTTTCGCTCACATGCATTACCTGAGCAGAAGTCCAGGCGGTTGGAGAGCCTGGTACACATTGACCACCTATCCCCAGTACCTGATGACTTTAGACAAACCGTCTAAGTGGTCCGAGTGGAAGAACAGGTTCTACTTTGTCTCCGCCCCTACTCAAGAAGAGAACCGGGAGTATAGGATATACAACCGGAAGCCGACCCTTCTGGGTCACAAGTGTAAGAAGCCTCGTATCCCGGATGAGGATTATAAGCGAATAATAGAGTCTAAGTTCTTTGAACAGACCACCACAACCCTCTCCAATGGGGACTTAATAAGTGTACCCAGAAATTGGGTACCTAGGCACGAGTTTCTTCGAGACGAGGCGTTTATGTCCGTCTATAAGCTTAGCACTCAGTTTGACAAACGTAGGTCACATTAGAGATTGCCCCTATTTTATTTTGTAATATCTCGTTCCTTGTTTTATTTGTTTCTCTGACCGGATGGGTTCTTTTGTGCAGTGCATGGATTAGCAATGCTGCCTGCTGATAAGACACCCGCCAAGTCAGCCGCTGAAATCCGCAAGGCCAATGCGGAGAAAAAACTTGCTGCTCAGGCGACCAAGAAGGTATCTTGCTTTTCTCTTTTTTGTTTTATATTTTCGTTTGGCTTCAATGCCGCCTGATTGCCATGTTTATTTTCAGGATGGGATCAAGGTGCCCCATTCCGTTTCCAAGATAATCAGGCCTAGGCCTGGAGAGGAGCCGCCTGCCCAGAACAAGGTGAGAAAGACTTTCTCTTGGACGGTACCCAGCCGTCTGACGATTGGGGGTAAAACTCTCAAGAACCTCGGCTTGGGGTTCGATCTGTCAAAGAGGCAACCGAATGTCCCTGATAAGGAGACGGCGCCGCCTAGGGCATCCGGCGCTTCAGTACCGGCTGAGGGCAGCCACGACCCTCAGCCTACCTCCCAAGGTACTCTTGACCCCTTCAACCCTTCTTTGCTTGGCAAGCCTATGCGGGTCAAGTCGCACTCCCAGCTCCAGCCAGAAGACTCTTCTGGCAGCCGGCAGTCGATAGGAGGGAAGTATGTTGCCTTCTCACCATCTGTTTCTAGTGTAGATCACTCCCCTCGCTGACCGGATGTACAAAGGTACGCTCGGGCCATGCTGAAGGCCGTCCCAAAAGAGGAGAAGGAGGCGATCCCAGGGATCCACACCTTCAATGCCGACCAGGTTCTGGCCGGCCTGTCTGAGGTACATAATCTTTCAATTTCTTTTGTTATTATGCTGCCTGGCCACTTCTGACACCGTCTGGGCTTTTGTAGTCAATGCTGCGCGTGGAAGGGCTCAAGAAAGCCTATGCCCGCAAGTGTGAGGAGATAAGACGGGCTAAACGGGATGCGTCTGACGCCCATAACGTTGCCCAGTATTCCATGATTATGCATGAATTGAAAACTAAAAGCATAATCATGCAACAGGCGGATGACATCAAGAGGCTCCAAAAGGCGCTCAATGAAGCCGGCACCAATATCCACAACCTCAAGGCGGAAAAGGATAATGCCGAGGCGGAGCTGAAGAAGGTGAACGACTCTTCCAAACTCCTGGAGGTGGCCAGGAAGGAGAATACAAATCTCCTTGCTGACAACGTCCGCTTGAAGGAGGCGGCAGCCAAGGCCAGCGACAATTTCCAGGCTACGCTGGAGGCTGAACAGAGTCGGCTCATCGAAGAAAATGAGCAAGACTGCATCGCTCGAATGCAGAAGGCTTGGTCCCTGGTTCATCCGGACGCGGAGTACACCGTCTGGGAACTTACCTATAAATATGCAGATCTTGCCATCGATGCGCAAGAAACGAATCAGCCGGCTCCGGAGCCTTATGAGGAGTGGGTCCAAAAGCAAATTGAGGCCATGCAGGCGGAGAATGGCTCAGAAGGGGGAGAGAATCAAGAGGAGATTGTCCCTCCTGTCCCAGGAGTCGCCTTGCAGGGCCAGGATCTGGATCAGCCTCCGCCTCAGCCTTAAGCTCTTTGTCTTCTAATTTTCCGGCCTGCGTGCCGTGTATCTGATGTATCTTTTTTTTTCACCGGACGGGGGTCCGGCTAACACTTGAACAAATTTTAATGTTAATATAATTTTATGCCGACTGAGTCGGTCATCTTTGCAACACGTTCTATTTTGCTTTTCATTGTTTGTTTGCTTTTTCTCTCTTTTTTTTTATAACTGACATCGCCGAATGCATTGACTATGCCTGCCCCTGGGTGGGCGATTGTTTAGTGCAAACACTAAGCAAATAGCCGCCCATACATGTCCAGATCAATAATCAATCGATCTGGGTCAGGCAGGTTGCTGAACCACCGTTGGGCTATGCCCTTTAGTGTTGTCGGGAAGCATCGACACCTGGCAGCGTCATCCAGCCCCTGTAGGTACATGAGGTTGGTGTAGGCCATCAGGTGGTCTTCCGGGTTGGTGGTACCATCGTAGGTGCCTACCAACACGTTTTTAACCTTAGCCGGCTGTGCCGCCTTGGTTATTTCTCGGGAGAAATCCGAAGGCTGTTCTCCTAGGTTTAGCAGCCGGAGCTGCCAGTCCATGGGCTGGACGGTGTTTGCCGCCATTCCCCCAAAAGGAGAATGTTGCATGTATGGTGATCCAGCTCCATATGGTTGCTGAGGCACAAATGGAGCCTGGTGGATCACATGGGGAGCAGTATGGACGGACGTGCCGTGCGTCTGGCTCCTAGGGTGAGTTTCCGAATGCTTGATCGAAGAATTACGGAAACTGTCTGGGTATGTCGACGTAGAAGCCGTCTGGGACATACTCTGACCTCTCTTCTCCTGGATAAGCATCCGGGCATCTGAGAAGATCTTTTTGGACCCATCCAGTTGTATGTGCCGGATGGCCTTTCGCTGCCCTGATTCAGGGAAAAGAATTTTTGAAAGGTCAATAAGGGGCCCGTCCCCCCCTTTAGGCTTTGGGTGAGGAGTAGGCACCCGGTCTTTGATTGGCTTCTTTACTGAAGCCCTCTTAGCCGACTGGCCCTTGCTGGAGCCATCTGACTTGTTGATGATGTCCGTGATTTCCCCTTTGAAACTAATCATGAGGTTCATGAGCTCATCTCTAGTGACGGGGGCCGACCCCTCCGCCGCCTGGGGTTGTCCGGTATGCTTGTCGCCTGGGTTGTTGGGGCAAGCCTTGTCTTGGCCCCGTTCCTTCCTTTCTTTGGAACGAGTGCGCCTGGAGCGGAAAGACCCGTCTGGGGCCATATAGGTTTCGACATTGTAGTCATCCCCACTTCCGCCTTCATGGTCCGTGTGGACCTCAGGGTCAGCCGTGGGCCGGCTGCCCTCTACGTTTGGTACATTTTCAGATGCCATCCAAGTGGTACTCTCTCCATAGACGGCGCCAAATGTTTTGGGGTTTTTTGAGGTGTCATACGGGAGAGTTACAGCACCGGGAATGTACGCCTGACTTCTGTACCTGCAAAACCACGAAACTCCGGTTGGGTGGAGTTCCGCCTCCGAAGGTCAAGTTAGTATGATTCCGGATGAAAGTACGTATGGAAGGTAAATTGGTTCTCTCGAATTTCGGGAGATTCCGCAATTAATATTGCTCGGGTTTTGTGGGTGTATTTATGAATACCAATAAATGAGGTAGATTCCTCTATTTATAGCAGATGGGTCTGCTCCCCCATTGGGGGTACAATGCCACGTGGCATCCATTGGTTGGATGCCCATGGTGCAATAGGGTGATGACACGTGTCAGACCCCTATAGGGCCACGTGTCCAGGGTAATTTTTACCCTAAACACCTTCAATGTTATTGCTTATTTATTTATTTATTTATTTTTTATAACTATTTAAAATTGTGTGCAGACATTTATACCCCTTAAATATTTGTTTACATGTTTTCCCTCATTAGTGTAACCAACAATTGAAAAATCTTTCTGAACATGATTAGCTATGACGCATGTTAACTGCCCTAGTCTAGATTTCAACCTGTATGAATATAACAATTTAGCATGGCTCAAATTTAATATAGATCCTACCCTACCTGACCAACCGAATTAGACCCAATCACCCAACTGACACTTCAATTTTTTTTTTAAGAAATTGACACCTCTAGTTATTACTATATAAGGCGTAAATAAGACTAAATGGGTCCCGAACCCAAAGTAACTTTTAGCCCCATCCATTATAAATTTATAATCGGTCATATTACACATTTTACACACACGTCCACACGTCCAAGTTCAAAAATTGCAATGTTTAAAAACAAAAAAAAAAAAAAGTTCAAAAATTGCAAAACATACAGCAAAAATTTACAGGTTCACCAATTCACACTTTCCGTTGACCATTTTTCTTCTTTCTAAACCCAAATTTCAAAATTAGATATTATCATTACACCACTCAAAATGAACTTCTTCCAATCCGAAAACAGCTCATTCACCTCATCATACCTCCATCTTCCTATATATCCCCCTTCCTCCTTTTAGATCCGCATTTTCTCTCTCCTCCACAACCACCTTCATCAACCATGGACATCGAGAAAGCCGCGCCGGAAACCTCCCCTAACAACCTCCACCATCGCCACAACCACCGCGATTCCTACGCCGCCTCCGACGCCGGCGACGCTACCACCGACGCAACACCGTCGGTGGAGAAGATGTTTTCCGGCAAAGTAGTACCGACATGGCGGAATCAGCTGACTCTTCGAGCTTTTGTTGTTAGCTTGATTCTCAGCGTTTTGTTTACCTTCATTGTTTTGAAGCTTAATCTTACGACTGGTGTGATTCCGTCGCTAAATGTTTCGGCTGGATTGTTAGGGTTCTTCTTTGTTAAAACTTGGACGAAGTTTCTGGAAAAATTTGGGGTTCTTAAACAGCCGTTTACTCGTCAGGAGAATACTGTTATTCAGACTTGCGTTGTTGCGTCTTCTGGAATTGCGTTTTCCGGTCAGTTCATTTTTACTCTTTCGCTAATTCTTTTTAGCTCGGTTATGATATAATGATATATACAAACCGTAAATCAGTTTAGGGAATTTATGACAAAATCATAAGTGGATTGAATTATTAATGCTTAATGTTCAATGTTTAACCGTTTGCTTTATATGATTTGTTTTTTAAGGTTGAGTACATCAGTATTCTTTATCTTATTATAGTAACTTTGTCGGATTAAATTAACAGATATAGTAACTTTATAGGATTAGATTAAGTGATTACCTGATAGATATAATAGTAATGAGTTTGTATGTGAGTTTTATGTTGTCCTACTTGTTTATTAGTAGAAAAATGCTTATATGTTACGAGCTACGTGTATAAGAAGCTTAAAAAGAAAAGAATTAATGAAATATATTCATTAATTAAGTTGATCTGCGCGTGATTTCGTCATCCATTCTTAAACTTAAAGAATTAAAGAAAGATATTAAATGCCTATTTGTAGCCCTAATTTGAATAATGTTGCTGTTTATTTGGAACGAAGGTGGTAAATATTTGTATGAAATTATGTCATTACCGGGGGTTTAATATTATGTACGGGTACTAATAAATGGGTAAACATGGTTTAGCTTATATAATAATTCCAATAAAGTAGGAATTTAATAATCTCTGGGTAAAGTTGTAAAAATATAAAAAATATAAATAAAATAAAAATAAAATACATGCATACTATAAAAATACTATGTAATGGATATTGTTTGATTCATTAAATACTATGTAATGAGTCAATTTTGATTAACTAGCGAAGTTTTTCGTAATACATGCATACTCCATGTCTCCATATTTAAAGAGCATGCTAGATAATACGCCGTACTCGTAGTAAAAAAACTATGCAAAAAATAAAACAATTACCACTATCATTTAATCCAAATAAGCAGCTGTTACACTAATCTTGGGTTATTATTTTAGTGATAGGAAGTAATTACCTCATGTGCTCAATCAACAGAGTAGCACCCAAAAGTTTTTCTTTAATGGGTTTGAGTATGTGACAACAATTTTTAAGAGACATCCTATTTTTTAGGAATTCAATTTGGTTGTGAATATGTGAGTAACGTGACAATAATGTTTTTAGAAACATCCTGTTTTGTAGGAATTCAATTACGAAAATTTCGTCACGTAAGCTTTTCAAGTACAACAGATCAACAACTAAATTAAATTATATTATTATTATTCATCGCAAAATTTGCATCATTGATACAAAATGATCGTGTTTGAGTAAACACTTTGGAACCTTTACACGTGAGGGTTGCCCACAGTAATGATTAATGAGTGTAGTGGAGTATAATTTGTGATTAGTGATTGATTAATTATTCATTTAATTGTAATTTAAAAGTGTTATGAACCTAATTGATGTCACTTGATTCGTTATCATTTGAGTATCCCACACATAACAATGGATGTGGACCAAAGTGAAAATGAAGATGCAAAAATTTGTTTTAAGACCATTTTTGTGTGGGCCCCACAAGCGTTTTCATCCTTTTTTCATTTTGTTGTGAATGGGAAATTTGGGCCCACTTTTTTTTTTTTTTGTTTGTGTTTATTTAATCATCGATGTTATCACCTTTCCAACTTGATTTATGGATAACAATAAGTGCGTATAAAAATTTTGAAGCATGCGGCATTAGATATAGACTGACCGATGACACGATTTGTCTAAAAGTCGATTTAGATTTTCGGTTTTAGATACAATAATTTAATACTTTTTCCGTTTTTTTAATTGTACCATTTGACGAAGAAATGAAATTATAAAAAAGGCCGGTGTGACTACAATGAAAAGAAAGAAAGTACAAGTTAGATAGAAAGTGTAAATACCACATGTGAACAAGGGTAAATAAGGGATTTTGTGTGTGAACACAATCAAAAAGTGAAAAAAGTTACCATATCAAGTAAGAAAATAGTGCAATTAATATGTAACTTTTCAAAAAGTAAAGTTGTGCAATTTAAAAAAAAAAAAAAAATAACCGAAGGAAATGTAACTCAGATTTGAAAAAAATCAACTCGACCCGGCCTAACCATCTATTTATCCGAATCGACTCCTCTAGTTAGATTTGTAAAGTTTCAAAGCCAAACTTAGATTTAATTTTAAATATAGCTTGGGTGTTTTTGCTAATCTGACCAACTCTTAATTGTTGTTTGAGTTGGTTATTGACTTATTGTATGGAGTTATTAAATATACTTCATCCATTCATTTTTAGTTGTAATATTTGGTAATTTGCATTATTCACAATTGCTTATTCAACTAACATACAATTTCTAACCAAGTCAACTAGTCAAGAATCATATTCACATGTAGTTGGATAAAATTGACTCATGACAAGACTTCAAAGCAATCAAATATCAAATCATAACCAACTAAGAATCAAACACTTTCAAACTATTTTCATCAAGGGCACAGAATAGCATGATTTATCTTTTATTGAAACTTATTTTTAGATTTTAATTTTTTTTTAAAGCAATAAATCTATCTTAGGAAAGCAATAAACTTAAACTAAGCCCCCCAAAGAAAAAAAAAGGAAAAGAAGAATAACTGTTTTTTTTTTTTTTTGGACAAGAAAGAAGAATAATTGTTGAGTGGGTTAGTTTAAGAAAACTATGATTAAAGAGTGAGAGAAACTACATAAATGTTGGTAGATGTGAGAAAAGATAAATAAGTACGAGTATGAGAGTTTATATAGTAAAAGGGATTTGTAAAATTGAAAATATTACAGTAATATATTTTTAGAAGCAAAATAAAATGAAAATTTTTAAGAACTTTTACAATCAATCAAAATAGAAAGTTTTATGATCATTTTAGTATAAATATAGGTTAATGAGATTTTGACTTAGTAGTTAAGCACTGAGGGTAAATATAGGGTCTGTGTGATAAATCACGGGTAAATAATATATATAAAATGAATTGTAGAAGATATCAAAATACTCTAACGTAAATAATAAAATAAATAGGAAAAAGAGTCTAATATTATTGTGATAAAAAGCATACGAAGGAAGTATAAGAATAGTGTAAAATGTCATAATGGTACAACTATTTCTAAACGTAATATATCTGTAAATTGGAAGAAAAAAGAATTGAAGTGGGTTTGTGGGTCTCACAGTTTGGAAACTTTGAATATGGACTATTAGCATAATGATATTTCAGCATTGTGGACCAAAGTTTAGGAATAAATATTGGATCAAAATTTTCTCCTAATAGAATAGTATTAACAACACAAGGCACGCCAATGTGATTATTTCAACTACCTTTGTGATTGTGTGGGCGATACACTGCTGCTACTAACATTGATCCACAGCTGTTTTTTTAGATTGTGAACAATATCAAATCACAAATAAAAATCTACAGAACATTAGCAAACATAACTTGACTAATCCGATTGTGTTTTGCAATTTGGTGCACCCTTTGACACAAACATTGTTACGGTGTTCAGGTCAACATCTAGTGGTTTGTAGTTTTCCATTGATAAGAAATTTGGAATAGTAGTGAGATGTGGCATGGTAGGGCGAAAGATAAATTGTTAGAAGTTGTCATTTCAAATCACAAGCTGTTGTTCACATACTAGTCTTTATTCAACTTAAAACTCTGTCTTACATCGTACATTTAGAACTCGTTTGGTTCACATGGGAAGTTATTTTCCATGGGAATTTATATTTTATAGGAAATTTTTTGCCTTTATGATTTTCCTAGGAACTAAGCTAAATTGTTTGGTTGACATCATAGGAAATTGCATTTCCTAGGAAATTCAACTCACCAAGAGGGGAGTTGTTGAATAATTTCCCATGATTTGTGGGAATTTGTATTTCCTTTAGAATTGCTATTTCCCATATTTACCTTATTTCCTCCAACCAAACACAACTTGATTTTAATACTTCCTAGAAAATTCTATTTCTAGGGAAATTATCTTCCAACCAATTAACACCTTAGATTTTAATTGGCTGTGGTGGTGTGAGATTTGAATAATACCTTGCATTCTGATCTTTTTCCATGAAAGTTAATTTGACTGAAAGCTACCTGTTATAGAGTACAGGTTATCAAACCTCATTTATTTAAGGACTAAAAATGAGTTTAAGTATTGATTTGAAATGGTAAACAACAGTTACCAAAGTTGGAAATTAAATTATGGACACAGCACGATGCTCACTGTACTAGAACACATGTGCATATGTAAAAAACATGACATGATAAATGAACATGTGTTATAGTGTTTTATATTAGGGCTATAGCGTTTGGTTATTGCTTGGTGGCGAAGTAATCATAAATATTTAAACAATGATGATTTTGTTAAATGAGATCACTTGTTTGTTTGTTCATTGTTTGTTTTTACAACTAAATGTTTCAATGCAATTTCATCTTGTTTCATTTAAGAAATTGATTGGACGTGCCATAGAAATGAATACCAACATTATTAAGCAAACAATTTCTTGTTGTATGCGAAGAGTTGAACACATCATCTGTTTTGGCTCTATTTCTGAGAACAATATTGCAGTACCCTTTTGTGACACTCGTAGAGAAGTTTTTATGGTTTGTGTTATACTCTCACCGAACTACTCGACTCGAGGGGAATACATAAAATTCTCTCTTATCATCTTATAAGGATATTAGAATGGGGAACAGGGAAGGATATAAGTAAATATAAATGTCTCCTTAATTGAATATTTATGCTCTTACATTAAGCTGGTGGGCTGATTTGCTTCATTGTTCTTGATATATGTTATTGGGAGGTCAACAATATGAGTACAATCTCATCGTATTGCTGGTAGATGTGCAGAATGCCAGTGAAAACATTCTTTTGTGCATAATATTATACTGGAGAATACTTGAGTAACTCAGATGCAATTGGTCCAACTTATATTAAAGCATTATGGTTCAGCCATTCATCATTGTTGTGTTTGTCCTTTAATTTTGCAATAGAAGACATAGAGATGGCATCTTGATTTGAAGTATTGATGTAGCATGGCTTTTTTGATCATGCTATGATTAGTTTTGTTGTATTTAAATCTATAAAACTTCTGTTTCAATGTATTGCACTTCATCAGTTAATCTCATTTTGTGCCACAGGAGGTTTTGGCAGTTACATTCTTGCAATGAGTTCAAAGATTGCAATCATGGGAGACAGAGGCTTTCAACATGACACAAAGGACCCTCGTCTGGGATGGATGATTGGGTTTCTCTTTGTTGTTAGCTTTCTTGGTCTGTTTTCAGTTGTCCCTCTCCGGAAGGTTGGTATTATCTTCTCATCTTGATGAATTCAATACTTTATCACCCATTTATATGTAATCTGCCTTAATCATGTCTTATACCAAATTGAATATTCCAAGGTGAACTGGCATGTATCAAAAATGTTAATGTTTCTCATCCACCCTCAATCACAGTTTGCAATTTTTTTTTAGAGTTTTCCTTTCTTGGAGAAAATATTAACTGCTCTGGATTACATGTGGAGAATTTATAACTAGTAAAATATTAACTGCTCTGAATTGAATTGAAACGACCTCAACTGAACTGAAAAGTTCTGCAGAGAAGTCCAAAAGAACCGGGCCTCAGTCACTTGGTTCATTGTTTTCTTTGCTGTTATTGTTGACCTATATATATATATATATATATATATATATATATATATATATATATATTTTACACTTTTCTCTTTATGCCACCTAAAATATTTTTTTTTTGTGGTCTAATGAACAATCTTAAACTTAACAAATGACGGCTATCTTTTACAGATTATGATTATTGACTTCAAACTTATATATCCTAGTGGGACTGCTACTGCCCACCTAATCAACAGCTTTCACACCCCAAAGGGAGCCAAATTAGCCAAGTAAGGCTTCTAACACAGTTCAATGTATTATAATTGCCTCCTGGCAGCATGGCAAGACATTTGATTTGACTTGATTTTTGCTCCAATTCTTTAATTACAGGAAGCAGGTAAAGACTTTAGGCAAGTTTTTCACATTCAGCTTCTTGTGGGCTTTCTTCCAATGGTTCTTCACAGGAGGAGATACATGTGGATTTACAAATTTTCCGACTTTTGGCCTGAAAGCCTTTAGCTACAAGTATGCATATGAATTTCATTCTGCCTCTGCTAATCCTTTGAGTTAATTAATGGTGTTGGCAATTAAAGTTCCATTTCTCATATAAATATCTCTTGCTCTTTAGATATGTAAATTTTTAATGAACTATGAGTGAACTGAGTTGAATGGATACATACTGTTTGGCAAACTGAATGGTTTTTTTTCTTCAACTGATAGTCAAGTTTACACGTAATTCAGTTCTGACTTCTGCTTGCTTTTGTTTTGGGATGTTATCACAGGTTCTACTTTGATTTCTCAGCAACTTATGTAGGTGTGGGTATGATATGCCCATATCTTATTAACATATCTTTGCTACTTGGAGCAATATTATCATGGGGAATCATGTGGCCCCTTATAGAGACGAGGAAGGGTGTCTGGTATGATGCAAGCCAAACAAAAACCATGCACGGTTTGCAAGGTTACCAGGTACCTTCGTGTTTCATTAATTTCTGCAGTGCTCCAAAAGAATGATGTGCAAAGCAAAATTTTATCTCTGATTTTTTTGCAGATATTTATTGCCATAGCTATTATCCTTGGTGATGGACTCTACAACTTTATTAAAGTCTTTGGGCGCACAATTTTTGGTTTGTACAAGCAATTTCAGGCCAAAGATACTGGCACGATTCTTCCTTCTGAACATTCAGATCCTGATGACTCGACATCAGAGTCATATGATGATCAACGGAGAACTCAGTATTTCCTCAAGGACCAAATCCCAAATTGGGTTGCTGTATGTGGCTATGTTGCCATCGCCACAGTATCTATCATTACACTGCCTCACATCTTCCATAGTCTCAAGTGGTACCACGCTCTAGTCATGTATATTATTGCACCAATGTTGGCCTTCTGTAATGCTTATGGGTGCGGGCTTACTGACTGGTCCCTAGCATCAACCTATGGAAAATTGGCTATCTTTGTTATTGGTGCCTGGGCTGGGGCTTCGCAGGGTGGGATTGTCGCTGGACTAGCAGCCTGTGGGGTCATGATGAATATTGTTGCCACAGCATCAGATCTTTCCCAAGACTTCAAAACAGGATACATGACACTAGCATCTCCCAGGTCAATGTTTGTGAGTCAAATAGTAGGTACAGCAATGGGTTGTATTATCTCTCCTTCTGTCTTTTGGCTTTTCTACAAGGCCTTCCCTGATATAGGCGAGCATAATTCACAGTATAAGGCACCATATGCCTCTATATACAGGAGCATGGCCACTCTTGGAGTTGAGGGATTCGGTACATTGCCAAAAAATTGTCTGACACTATGCTTGATATTCTTCGCTGGAGCTGTGGCCATCAACGGGATCAGAGACTTTGTGGGGGATAGATGGGCAAGATTTATACCAATTCCAATGGCTATGGCTATTCCTTTCTTCATCGGAGGTTACTTTACCATTGACATGTGTGTTGGTAGCTTAATACTTTTCTTATGGCAGTGGACTAACAAAGCCAATGCTGACGCATTTGGACCTGCAGTTGCTTCTGGGTTGATTTGTGGGGATGGAATATGGACTCTGCCAAGTTCTATGCTTGCTTTGGCTGGTATTAAACCACCCCTCTGCCTCCAGGTTGTTCCTAGGTTACACAGTTGAAAATTTTACGATTTCTTTCTTGTCATAGGTGCAATTACTGTTATATAGGTTTACTAGCTATACCAATTGTAGATTCTTGTAAGCTGTTTTAAATCTGAACACTATGAGAGTGAGGGATAGCTTAAGTGGTTAGAGTTCCCCTTCCGGTTTCTGGTGATCTTGGGATCGATTCTCATCCCTCGCCCTTGTGGCTCTCTTAACACCAAAAAAAAAGAAAAATCTGAACACTATATACGTTAAACTCTATATGTACTTTTTTGAAGGAAAAACTCTTATATCTACTTCTGTGTTTGAGCAAACTGCCATTTACGCGGGTAATACAGCGAAATCTGTTACAAAAGATCTTTTGCTTGATCTTTTGTTAGATAGCTTCTTCAATCTATCTAGCAAATCAATAACATCTATAAATCCCATCAGTGAGAATTCCAAGCCAATGTGTATAGAATGTATCAGTCAATGCAATTGCATTCGTACTTACATTGAAATTATAATGAAATGCAGCCTCTTAATGATTCATCATCTTTTCATAATTTTCTTCGTACCCTTAATTCATAAGCTAACTATACCAAGAACTGTTGAGATACAAAACTTAAGCATTAATCAGTTCACGGACAGAAGTCTTTGAATCGTTCACACATATACCAACAAATTCAGACAGTATGGACCTGAATTCGTCTCCCGAGAGTGTTTCTTTCTCCAGCAAAACGTCTACAAGTTTATCAATTGCATCTCTATGATTTCGGATATGCTGCTTCGCCACTTCATAAGCTGTCTCAATTATACGACGTACGCATGCATCTATGTCCTCTGCTAGCTTTTCTGACATTGAATTTCTTGCCAACAACCTCAGTACTACATCGCTTTGCTGAACTGCTGGATCAATCAAAGCCCACGGTCCAAGTTCTGACATTCCAAACATTGTTACCATCTGTAACATATGAAAATTTAACAAGATTAGTCAAGAATCATGATATTTAGTTAAATCTTTTTAGCCTCCTTGAAGAAACTAGTCATATTCAGAGTATATATACATGTCTAGCTATTTGTGTAACTTGTTGCAGGTCTCCTGCTGCACCAGTGGTGATTTCTGGTTCACCAAAAATGACCTCTTCTGCTGCCCTTCCACCAAGACCGCCAACTATCCTAGCAAACAATTGCTTCTTTGACACGAGGGTTGGGTCTTCATCCGGCATGAACCATGTAAGACCTCGTGCTTGACCTCTTGGTATTAAAGTGACTTTCTGTACTGAATCATGTCCTGGAGTCAAAGTCCTGCAGATTTGCACTTGCAATTCAGATAAGCCCTTCATAAAGTATATGTTTAGAGGAATCTGATAGTAAATATGAATTCCCAATAAGAACCATTTTAGTCTGTAATTTATACCAAAGAAACAAAATAGAACTGATACCATACCAAAGAATAAAATGTTAAACCATATTAGTTTGAATGGTACTTACGCGCTCACAGCATGTCCAACCTCATGGTAGGCCACCAACATCTTGCTTTTCCCATCAGTCATTGTGGTTCCTTCCATTCCTGCCACGATGCGATCGATTGAGTCATCAATCTCCTTGACAGTAATCCTTGCTTTTCCTCTTCGACCAGCTAGAATGGCAGCTTCATTCATAAGATTGGCCAAATCAGCTCCACTGAATCCAGGAGTTCTCATGGCAACAACACTAAGTGAAACATCCTTATCTAGCTTCTTGTTACTGCTGTGGACCTTTAATATATCTTCCCTTCCTTTCACATCTGGTAGTCCAACTGAGACCTGTGAATACAAACAACTTTAGCAACCGCATACAACTAATTCTGCCTAATGCATGCACTTCTTCTCACATACTCAGTAAAAATGTCTGAAAAGAATTAACTTTGTTGGGACATCCTAAAATAGCCTTCTTTTCCCACCTTAAATAAACTTCCATTACTTTCATTCAAACATGTTAGTTATTACTGTACTAGAATAAGAAAACCATAACAAACCTGCCTGTCAAATCTTCCGGGTCTAAGCAATGCCTGATCAAGAATCTCAGGCCGATTTGTAGCTGCAATGACAATAACTCCAGTATTCCCAGCAAAACCATCCATCTCAGTGAGCAACTGATTTAAAGTTTGCTCCCTTTCGTCGTTCCCTCCACCAATGCCTGTCCCTCTTTGCCTCCCAACAGCGTCGATCTCATCAATGAAAACCAAGCAAGGAGCATTTTCCTTGGCCTTGTTGAACAAATCTCTGACTCTAGAAGCCCCAACTCCTACAAACATCTCAATGAATTCAGAGCCTGAGAGGGAGAAGAACGACACTCCTGCCTCACCTGCTATTGCCTTAGCTAGCAGGGTCTTCCCGGTTCCTGGTGGTCCAACCAACAGAACTCCCTTAGGAATTTTTGCTCCTACTGAAGCAAACTTCTCTGGGGTTTTTAAGAACTCCACAATTTCCTGAAAGTCCTGCTTTGCCTCATCAACTCCTGCTACATCGTCGAATGTTACTCCTGTGTTTGGTTCCATCTGAAACTTGGCTTTGCTCCTGTTTTACAACATATATGAAAATTATGTCATGACTTTTGCTACATGCAGATGTAATAGTTAAGAAAAAAACATTACTCACCTGCCAAGCCTAGAAGGCAAGTTTGGGCCTCCACCAGGAAGAAGCCCTAAAAGCAAAGCACCCAAAAAAATCAAAGGAAAAGCAAGATTACTCAATAAATCAAGTATTGCAACTTCCATATTAACCTCTGGAGGATTAACAGCAAAATCCACATTTTTATCCTTCAACTTTCTCACTAATTCTGCTGGTAAACCAGGCAGTTCTACCTTAAGCCTTTGTATTTTATCAAGGGCCTCATTGTAAATTTCTACCACTGCGGAACGGCCATTCTCTATCAAGTCCACCTTCCTCACTACACCTTCATCCAAGTACTTCAAGAAACTTGAGTATGATATCCTATTTGAAGCTAAATCTATTGGGCTTGGTGGACTCGTGACGTCCGCGTTTGCCGGATTGGGCTTTCCAATTAGTAGCCCAGCTCCAGCTCCTCCAACTAGGCCCAGCCCACTTGATGATAAAAGCTTTCTTCTAAGAATTTTTGTATGTTTAGTGTTTATATTTGGTGTACTATGACATGGGTTTTGATCATTGTTGTTTGTTTTGGGCAATTGGGTTTCTTTTGGAAGATCTCGAGACTTCCATTTTGGGAGATTGTAGTGAGAGTGAGATGGTAAATAGAGTGAAAGTGCACGTACCATGTTTTTAGACTACTCGAGGATCAAATTAAAGGTACTACGGAGTAATATTAAAGCTCTTAAATAAACACATAAACACGACTTTTACTGATTTTAATTCTATGTTTGTATGATTGTCAAGGGAAAAGGAAATTTGGTATATAAATAGAAGAGTTTAGGATGATTCTAGGACTTGAACGAACTTTTATTTTGGAGTTAATATGAGATATTCCTCTTAGATTTTTACATAATCCAATAATTCGTTTTCTATAAAGAAGCATCTGGATTTATCTCAGTTTCTTTATAATTTGGAACTTTTCAAGTATTAGTGAACAAAATATTTTAATTTAACTTTGAATTACAACCATAAGTTTGGTTATAATGTTAGCGGCCATACACTTGGGAATTACTTGAGCAGAATGCTGGGGCCTTGCTTAGTTTAATAGTTTTGTGGTTAAGCTATCACTAACAGTATATATGTATGACTTTGTGATAGGAAGACCAACCTTTGTACTTACTTTGTTAATGGCAATTTTAACACGGATAAACACAACTTTGGTGTACCTAAATAAACCCAAATATTTATATAATCTATAAAAAGAAAATAATTACAATATTTGTTAACAAAAAATGTCTTAGATTAGATTAGTTAGATGTAATTTGAGTTGCACATGTGTCGGGTTGTCACAAGGACCAATTAGACACAACATGAAAATAATCTGACCTAACACAAATTCGCCACATCCCCAACATATAAAGAACGAGAGGTATGTTGATGGACCATGAACCTGAGCATCAGTGTATGACGTCGTTTCATGAGTCTGAAATGAGCCTGATGGACCAGCTCACATAGCATGATGCCTCGATTAATTTACATGTCAACCCGTTTTTATTTTTATCAATTCGTTGGGGTACTAAAAATCGAAATAAAAAATATCGAAGCCCGTTGACATGGCACGTAAGCCGAGTTATACTTGAACTATGTTTTTGAAAGATCAACACAGCACGACTTTTCTTGTATCGTTTCATAAATGGGGCTTAACTCGTACCCAGTTATAAATGAAACCGGTGATTGATACATCTTCCTAACATATACTCCGTACTAGGTAATATCTAGTATTCCTAACATGACAATTCGGCACAAAACAAGTACGGAGTATCAACCACTGCCTCAAAAAATGTTAGCTTCGTTTTTGTTTTCCCCCAATTTCCTGACTTCCTGAGTTTATTGCTATGACCCTAAAATTTACCTCCCTTTTTCTTTTTTAATGTGTTATTCTTATTCCTTCAAAAAAAAAAAAAAAAAGTGTTATTCTTATTGAAATTTCAACCGGAATCATTTACGTCTTCATTCAATGAACTCTAACCTCTTGTACTTATTAGTTATTACATCGACCATGATATTTCACATGTCATAACCAAAATATACCCAAAAAAAAAAAAAAAAAAAAAAAAAAACTACTCCTTAAGTAATTAAGATTATCTTGATTTTAAAATCTTGCTTACATAAATTATTGACGAAAATATACACATGCTTCAATTTATAATTGATGAAAACCCTTATTAAATGGATGTAAATCGGTGATATATGGATGAAGTGGTGATGGGTCAAATTGGATCCAGGTAATGCTTTACTCCATTGTCTCCATTCGTTATTACTCCCTCCGTTTCCATATGAGAGTCGCATATGGAATCAAATCACATAAAATAAGAAAAGAAGTGAAATTTATATCGTACACCAGGGTGTGTACCATGCTCATGGTACACCTGGATGAAAATTTGTCATTAAAAAAAATAAATAAAAGTCATCTTCCTAAATTTATGCTCCTTAATTGAAGGATTTTTGTTGTTTCTTTTCCATAATTTTAGCTTCCCATGTCCATAATTGTTCATAATCAGTTTTTGAAAAAATAGAGAACTTTTAGAGAGAAAATAAAATTTCAAGAGAAAGAAATAATTTTTATTGAGAGAAAATAATGGCTCATCATGAATTTCCGTCACGATCTATGATTGTCGATTTGCACTTGATAATCAGCAGATTGATATTTTTGACAATTGATA